AGGCACTTCCGCCAAGAACTTTTGCAAAGAAACGTCTCAAACTTTTCTTCAACATAAAATAAGACCTCATCACGTGGTTATTAAGCTTTTTTCTATTTTATTGCCACAAGCCGGCATAAAAGCCACAATAGCAAAGGCTAAATTTTGACAAAAATTGAAAGTCAAAATGACGATCTATAATGCGAGTTGAAATGTAATTAAAAGGACGTCAGTGTACCTCTGAGTAGTCTGAATTTGCAGTCCCAATCATCATCAAGATCCCTTTTCAAAAAGGGACGATGCAAATTCATCACTGCTCTTTTAGCTGAGCAGTTTCCGAGATGAAAAAAAAGCACAAAAAAAACGATGCGAAAAGCGGTCATGGAACAAAATGAGTACTGAGAACGAAAGGGAAATCAAAAATGACTGTGACCTGATTTATTGTCTTGGAATTACGAGAAAAAACATGCTCACTCAACATTTAGTATACGGGTGGGCAGAGTTGACGGATCTTCAGTGGCGCTTTTCAATTCATCCATGAACTTAGCCACCTATACGTTATGCCTGTTCAACAATACAGCGACGAATATGAGATGTTGAATTTGCAGTATATATTAGCAAAGATTTCTAATCAACTAGGCACCTGAAGTATTAGCAAGTAGAAGAAACACGAAGTCTGTCTTGGTGCTTAATCTGCAAAATATAATTGTATAAGTTATAAGTATATAAGTGGTATATAAGTTAGTTCCCACATATTTCAAGCACGTTATAGCAAAGTCCACGCACAAATTCGGCGCAAAGTGATTTATTCTAAAATTGTTTGCAATTATCGTTATACTTTGGGATGAGACCTCGATTTATGTTGTCATGGCTTGCAATAATATTATCTCGAGCATGCGCTACTCCAGATGACTCGACCTGAAATAAAAGCGAAAGCCCACATCTCGACAACGACCAATTGTGGACAGCCATCTGGGATTAGTGCGGCTTCAAAGAAAGAGAAAGCGGATAAACGTCAGCCGAATAAAAGTTTCCAACCTCTTGCTAGTTCAGTCAGTCAAGATGACCTAGGTTTGCGCTGTTCACGCTCAATTTGGGCGTTATCAGTGGCGTTCAGCAACAGAACTGTTGTAATTTTACGATCAGCTTGATTGGTCTCGTTGCGTAACGGTACCGTAACCACATCAGCGTATTCATGCGCTAGCGTAATCAACTCGACGCGATTGCGCTGAACGTCCGCTGAAATTAGTCGGCAATTAGTTTGTCTTAGTCGTGAATGACCATATTGTTCTGAACAAATTAGTTTTGCACCTGGAATCGGATGCGGAATCAGAAACGACAGCTCTATCTGCGCTACGCAGAATACAAGATCTCTAAAAGCAATGGCAATCATTGCTGGATGTGAAAAACGCCACCAGTTCTCATAGCAGAAGTAGGAAGTAAGTAAGTCACTAATTGTCTGGCTGCAGGAAAAATACAGTGCTGTAAAATTTTGCTCTATTCTTGACTTGAGAATGTTGGTTCTACGCAATCATTGTTTATCCAAATGAATTTTCTGTTAAAATGGTCAATTTATATAGAAGCAAAAGACATTCGAATTTTTTTTCTCATTGACAATCTTTTCCCATTATGAAATTATTACTTAATTTTCTATCAATATAGTGATATATAAAACTATGAGCGCAGTGAAAGTGGACTTACCAGAACAGAATGAGATTTCAATTTCAGATAACATCTATTACTCGAAAGTTTGTATTTCCGATATTCTTATTCATAGTAATCTTTTCTATAACGGGGAGCTAAAATTTTAATGTGATCAAAATTGGAACCTATGAAATTAGATGAATACTTTTACAGCGTTACCATTTGAGGAATCCTAGTGTGCCGACAGCTTTCATCACATCACGTTTCTCAAGTGTATTGTGGGTCAATTACAGTCGATTATGTTCTCATCAAAGGTAATACAGGATGGTATGGCGATCGCCAGATGAAGCCTCTTACAGCGGTACGCCTTTTCGTGGTAACCAATTAAGTGCGCTGATTAGCTCCTTTAACCCATACCGAACTATCATCGAGCTCTCTTAGACGAAGCGGACAAGAAACGCCTGCGATCATAATTTACTTCATCAGCTAGGGAACGTCTCATAGATTATTTCTAGCAATGCTGCCTTTGTGTGCAACAACATAAGGAAGAATTGAAGATAAACTGGACTAAATCACTGACTATCACGTTCACTTTGATAGTGAAAAACGCCAACTCAAAACTATCACAGTACCCAATGTTAGAGTACGCGGAGGAAAAGTGAAGTTGAGAACCTTTTCTTCATATTGGGATGCGTCGGCGTACTTAGCACAGCAGAATGAAGGAGGCTAAAACTATTGGTGCTTACAAATCTCATCATACTGCTGTCCTACTAAATAGTATCACGACCGTTAGCACCGCATTTTCCACCCTCTTTATATAAGTATGAGGTTGATGTTTTCTGACTTTTTTTTCATTTACACGTAAATATTGAAATGTACTAGCACAGTGTTTTTTGTACTAAGCTTATAAATTACACTACAGTTGAAATACTATATCGTAGGAACCTGATTTAAGGTTAGTCTTCTCTAGTATTTTTGTTCCTATGAAGATGATGATTACATCATCAACTTAGTGTTTTTCTGTTCTTTTCAGGATAAGCAGAATACGAGCAATTTAAGTGTTTTCTGTTATTTACAAGATAAGCAGAGAATCGAGCAAATTTATAGGTTTTTTTTCCAAAACTGCACATTTTAAGAGTCAAGGTGATTAGAACATGATATGTCCCGTTCTGACTGCTGTTACACAAGTCATTTCTATACAACTTACACAAGCAATCTCTTCAATAAAGTCTCTTTGAATCAATGGGGTTTGATTTTATCAAAGGAAACGGAGAATTGATCAAGGAAACGCCCTTCCTGATTAGCAATGCTATCACTTACTCAGAATCAATAATGGAACCATTTTATTCAATGTACTGCCATTTTTGTTTTCGAAAAAATTGATTTATGAACTGCAATCTACGACATTACTCAAGTAGGAGGAGCGAGTTATCCGCCATACGAATCATAAAAGAGGACTATAGTGGCAAGAAATGGCCTGGAAACACGAAGGACCTTTTCTTTCTTAGGTGCCGTCTCCACTGAAGTCAACCGAATTTCGGTCTTTAAAGCATTTTTCTGTGTGGTCGATGATTTGCTAGAAGTATGATGAATACATGTGGTCGAGACAGGCGCCGTTAAATCGAGGTCAGCCTTCTTCCGGTGTTGCACCTGTTGTCGGTAAGTGGCTCATATAAATCATCTTATTTGACGTACAGACGTACATAATAAGAAGAAAAAGAGTTTACATCAAACCCACTTACACGAACTCCTTGTGAATGAGACGATTTTGTAGACAGTGTCTCTTTGTAAATGAAATCGACCAAAGTCCGAACACTCTAGCTAACTCCGTCACATCTAAGTGCCACCAGCCTGCTAGGCGTCCTCAGCCTTGCATGAACGAAGATTACTACTTCAGGACACACCATGAATCTGGACTAGTGTATGCAGTTCGATTGATAAAAGATGTCTAAGACATATTTCAGGAGTGTGTGAAAGTCGAAAAGCACTTCCAAAAATCTCGTCTATTAGTTCATGTGCTGTAGTGTACGTCAAACAGCTCCTATTTGCTCAATAATAAAAGTGTAAGCCCCTTTCTTCATAGTCTCTCATTCTATTACACAGTTTCTTTATTTTGAATACTCTATTGGACAGTGTAACCTTGCAGCTTCGTAGAACTGTTAAAAACATGGCTTCGCTTGATCGTGGCCTCTTACTTATGTTGATTATAATAATGTATAGTGTTATATGTCAATAATGGATTAGATGTCAATAATGATTTCAAAAATGTAATATGTCAGTAATGATGTCAATAATGTAAAGTATGGATTTCGCCTTCTACATCATCCGTGAGCGGTCGTTTGATTTCTTTCCTACCTCTGCTTTTGTTTTTGTCCTAACACCATCTCCGAATCAACCATTAGGAAGCCCGGCCGAGGATCCGTCGCCGAAACCTAATCCTTGGAGAGGACATTATGAAGATTTGAAAAAGCCCTTGCAAAGTTACGTCAGGAAACCAAGGAATATTATATGGTCGACCAGCAATATACCATTTGGAATATGTGCTGGGGTCCGCATAACCAGTGAAGAAGAACCATCTAAGTATCTAAGTAGGCTAGTAATATGTTGATATAATTGTCTTTTCTAGCTTTTAATGCATTTTAGTGCTGTAAATTTAGGTTTTTTAAGATGTTGCTAAAAAATAATCAAGCATGATGATGGCAGCGCATTTCCTTTGAGGGCGCTTCTATCCTACCATCGAGCGTCTTCCAAATTCATTAATGATAAACAAATCTCAGATCATCATGCTCCAGTTGCCAAAACGAAGCCCGTTTATCTGTTGCAGATGATAGCCACAGGAAGACGATGCAAACTGTTAATGTGCCCAAGTCCCTCGCCATAATAAAGACGGGTTATATAAGCTATTATTCTATCTATCACTTCTCATGATGGATATGAGCGTGGACAGTAGCGTAGCCGCTCATCGGAGCACGACGCCGGTTCAGCGCCTCCCACGGCTTACTAAGCTTCTCGTCAATCCTTGTTCGAGACATTGGCACTTAATCAGTCTCAAAACACTTGATGACTCTTGAAGGGCCAAATCCTAATTGTATAAGTTTTTTTTTTTGCAAAACGAGACCACCTATACACCATTATCGAACGTCGAGTACTCAGTGTCTCTTTCATGTGCAGATCCGAGACTTCCAATAATAGTACCTACCGAATACAATAATAATACAGAACAATAATAATAGAATGGCCAACGTTTCGGCATTACTGCCTTCTTCAGAGCCTGTAAGAGTGAAATTTTTGCTATGCAATCCATCTTGCCAAACACTTCAATAATCAAAGCAGATATATCTTATACCCAATAATGTGGAGTGCTGTGCAAAACCGTTTGCGTCAGCGGGATTTGAACCCAGATCTCACTCTTTCCGGGAGCGTATGCTAACCGTTGCACCACCGCCGCATACACTCCAGCAAAGAGTGAGATCTGGGTTCGAATCCCGACTGACGCAAACGTTTTTGCGCAGCACTCCGCATTATTTGGTATATTATAAGACCATGGCACCGCAAGAAACGGCCATAAAATGTATTGTGATTGATTGTATATAAATCTTAATACTTAGACGTTAAGTTACGCAGTAAACAGCTCTTAATGTTAACTTTTTTCCGGAATTATTTGATCTATGCCGAGGTAAATAGATAGACGATCTTCGGAACTACACCAAGTAATTTTTGAAGTTTTCTCTTCTAGTGCGAGTCAATATCCTACGCTTACATAAATATTTTCATGAGGACCATATGTAATTTGTTGTACGTGTAAGCGATTCGAAGTTTTATAAACATAATGGAAAAGCCTGATCTATTCGTCGATCCAAGTCACTACTCCAAAATTTTTGCAGCACATTTCCTTTGAGATCACTTCAATTCTCCGTCTTGTTTCCATTTACAGAGATTTTAATTTCCATTCACAGAGGTTTTTCAAAACATTGATTCTCTGGAAGAATTGTGTCCCTATACTATTTTATTTCAATTGTTCTCAATGACAGGCCTATGTTCTCTATTCCTATTACGCTCCTCACTTCAGAGCTCTTCATACAGTTTGCTATTGCATCGATACTATCCGCATCATCAGTAGCAAGCTGAGATTTGATCCGGTTAATCCGTCGACATCGATTCTACAGGTCAGACAAACTACATGATATGATTAAATGGATTACGGTAGGGCGCGATAGATGACGCAATTACAGATTACGCCATCGCCAACACTGAGTAAGACTTGTTATGCGCTTGACATGTGTCACATAAAGTTCGGGTGCGAGTATTCGGGTCGATGAGCGAGTTTACATAGGTCAAATGACCTTGAAAATATTACCAAGCTTCTCCCCAATCCACGTATGACTTATGTAAATGCGGAGGTCGCGAATACGGGATTAGTGGAATGCTCTTTAGTGCAAGGTGATCTCGGATTACTCATCGAGGGTCATGTATATCCATCTGCCTGTCATTGTACCGATTCATTCGTCAATGTCGCTTGATCAAGTATATATTATTATATCAGTTATTTACTTGTGAACATTTGAAGCCCTTTGTAATTAGGCAAACAATCAACCATCACTGCTAACAAGCATCACTTCGCTTTGAAATATCTGTTCGATGTTCATTTTTCAAATATATTAGTTAACTTCCATTAACTTTATCCGAATTAGTATCTCAGTCAACCATTTCTGAAAACTGTGCATATTCTGAATGATATTCCATTCTTAAATTAATACAATTAACATGAATATCAAGCGCTGGGAACATTGAAAGATTGAGTTTTCTTTGGAAAAATATGAGAAATCAGTAGATATTCCTTTTGTTAGTCAGTATGTCCAATTAGCACGGCTTGAGCTTTGAAATTTTTCACTGACATTCCTTCCATGGGACGAGATCGTACTGAGCATTGAGCAGCTATCGAACTTTCTGAGTTCCAGCAAGATAGCCGAACCTGTAGTGGAATCAAGATATTTCTGCCTGAAAGTACAAGTGGAAGTGGACAATTGGCAATTGATCACCCCCATCCTAGAATCCGTTCAGATCTGGTATAGATTTCATTTTCATTTTTCAATCTCGAAAAACTGATGACTGGTTGTGATGACCATTGTGATTTAAGAGTGACTTTAGGACTGTAACAAAAAATTGAAGACATCGTTGAATCAGCAAATCAGCTAATTAGCGCTCAAATAAATCGGTGCTGGCAATGCGATAGTCTGATAACATGATAACATGTCCTGAGCCTTTATGAGGCTAGACACGGCGCTTTTTAGTACTAGACAGCTGCTGTTTTGTTTTTGCAGGCTCATCTGTAGCACGGGGCCTTCCGGTTCAGCCGATCCCTTGCACGGGATATACTCCTACTTAGAAAGGAATCGTCGCCGAATTATTAGACCATCGTATGTCGAGTGACAAAATTTCGCGACATTGCAGGGACCACACTGGAGCGCTCATGGGTGGTAGAATGGATCGTACCTTTATTCTCGACTATTTAAGGATCAATAAATGGATCAATAAGGGGCTCAAACATATCATTATGTTATCAGATTATCACATTGTTCCTACTGAGCCAGATCTATGGAAATAGTCAAGAGTAAAGGTACTAACAATCACATTGATAGACAAAAGCAGTCAACATGCCATTGAGTTATTGAGCTGAGAGAACTGTGTGTCACCGATCGTTATGTTAATCCTGGACGACTCACTAGACTCCATTCACATTTCGGTTAGGACTCCAGACACATAATCAGGTTCGAAACATTTGTAAGAGATTGCAGTCTGTCTGTCAATTTACTTCTTTCTCATCGATCGTTCGTTTCATCCTCGTATATTCTTTTTCTAGCCTCAGTTGAACAAGGCGTGCAAAGGGCAGCATGGTGAGCCATTGCCGCAGAATGTCCGCTAGAAAAAACGCGAACGTAATTGGGGGCCTCGAAAGCCACACAAACCCCATTCAAAGAAAAAAAAAGCCTACCGCATCTCCCACACACAGAACGAAAAATCTATTCGAAATTCAAAAATGAACGTTTAATTTTGTTAGGAGCTAGTGGGGTCGTTATATTAGGAATGGGTAGTGACCAGTACGGCCCTTCCTAATGAATGTTCTGAAGAAACCAAATTCTCTCTTAATAGTTATGAAAAAAGTTTTTTGTCTCATACATTCAACTCATTGCAATAATTTATTAAATTACATAGAACCCATAACAGCAAAGTGTTCAAATGAATGGATAAAAAACGAAGTAATGGATTGATAAGTGATCACTGGAAAGAATATTGACTTACTTGCTAAGTGAAAGAATGAAGAGCTTTTGATCCAGCAGTAAAGATCAGTTAGGAAATAGAAAACCAATAAAGTCATTGCAAGATTTTCTTCGCCGTTTATCTAAGAAATAGTAGAAAAGAATGTTGCCGGTAGAATGGAACGGCTATGAATTAGGAGAATACTTTGATTACTTTTTCTGAAGATATGAGAGAGGCTGAGTAAAACTAGAAAATAAAAATCGCTGGAGAATACATCTCAAACCTTCATTGTTTGATAAATCAGATTACCGATTTCTTGCGTAGCATTAGATTTACTGAAGAAGAATTTATTATGGTCGTAATTAGTTACACGTATATTTGATATTTGAAATAATGCAAATTAAAATAATAGGTAATGACAGGCAGCCAGAGAACATATGAAAAACCCGATCGAATTTGACTGTTAAATGACAAACAAAACAAAACTGTATAGAAAGAACAAAGAAAACCGTGAAGAATAATATCGCTACAGACGGCCTTTTTTCGTATTAGCGCATAAAATTAGAATATTTTTGTTCTTCAAACGATGAATCGCTGTAGTATGATGAGGCTGGTGAGAAGTCGGATTTCAATTGTGATGGATAGTACGGTGAAACATCGGTCGATGAGTTACTATAGTAGGATTGTTGTTGTACGAGCATTCGTTGTTGCTGCTGACTCGACGACGTGTAGTTGGCTTGTTGAAGAAGGGCGTGGAGTTGTTCATGTAACGGGTAGCTTCACGAAGCGTTTCCACTTTAGACAGCTTATGTTTTTGAGCCATGAGGTCGTGGCACACGTAGTCGAAGCTGATTGAAGCCTTGGTTTACCTGAAAGGTGTTATGGTGAAGTGACTGAGAAGAAAGGGAATTTGAAGGAGGAGATACTGGAGAGGAGCATCGCAAGACTCTTTTCCAATATTCTCTTTGATTTTTTTCATTCTAAAAAAGCTCACATGGATCGAGTTATCGATCATTTCACATATTTTCTACGAACCACAAAACTGAATGGGAAGTGCATAAGAGACGAATTTGTGTCCTTCCCATCACATTCCAGAATTATGCCTCGAGATTCCTACAGATGCCTGTCAACAATAATCAATAGTAGCTGGGCAGAACTAAAGCTCGGCAAGTTCCCCTTGGCTGACATCTCTTTCGAAGCAGTAGAGATAGAATGCACCGCTAAAAATATATGGTAAAGTATTTGTCCATCAATCGATAGGATACTCGAGGTGCTCTACAGGACCAATAGATGCTCTGATAGCGTCAAAAAGTTTATCGCAACTCGTTTAATGTCTACTCGTTTTCTGGAAGATCATTTTTAGAAGATGGTTTCATAAGAAAATTTGCAAAGAGAAATGTTGAAGGTGCCTAGAAAACCGTTGAAAGGAACATGAACACCGCCTATTAGTGTTTCTTGTCTAGCTTTCACTATGTAGAAGGTATTATAATAATTTTCTAGAGATAGATTGGAGTGGATAAGTTTAGATAATTTCGAGAAAAATCCATTTTTTAGCAACTTTTCAAATCATTTCTCGCCACAAATTCTTTTGAATACATTGTAAATCTTCTTGTATCTTCTTGGCTAATGCCATCGAACCCTGATAGAATTGCATACATTACAGTCAGAACAAGAAATCGACTTCCACATTCTCAACGTATGTGAACAAATGGCGCCGGTTTACTGTGCTTTGCTGTCGAAACAAAAATTAGGTAGCAAATAAAGTTGAAATTTTTGCGAATAAATTTCAAAACACAGAAAGAAACTCCTTCATTTACCTTCGGAATTCATCATTTCCACCTTTTTACATTAAGAGCACTGCTGACTTGAACAAACATTTTCCTGCTTTTTTCTGCCACTACTGGTGATATCATAAGCACAATTACTTGTAGAAAAGGGAAAATGAAATGGAATGAGAAAAGGAACAAAGAAACAAAAAGGCAACAGCGAGACCTGACCTGGTCGACTCGCTTTCGCTCACGTTCGTTTCCTACGAAGTTTTTGAGGTATTAGCTTAGTGGACTGATCCGCAGGCATTGCTGCAGAGAGCCGACAATTCAAATGCCGCGCAACGACCTTTGCCTCCGGTGGGCGGGGCCTTCCGCTGAGCGCTATCTGAATGGGGGGAGTTTATGCCATGGCACACTAACA